GCTGCACGCTGCCTGCTTTTCCCGCCCTGCCCCCTGGGGCCGTGGGTCCGATTGGAGGCTCCTGCTGGCCCTAGGGATGCCAGGGACTTTCTATGGGGGTCCCAGGCTGGCTGGGTCGAATGAGGAAATGGGCTGCAGAGCCGTCTGCCCGAGACTGGACCCACAGCCCCTCAGGACCCAGGCTCTGGGACCCTGTGGAGCAGCTGAGCAGTCAGGCTGGGAACCCTGAGAGGCAGGAGTGGCTGGGTCCCATGGCACCCAGACCCCAGAACCTGCTGTCCTGTGGTTCAGGCTCAGGCAAGTGAATACAGCAGTTCCAGCCCATTACTTCTCGGACTTGCCCTCTGTCCCCCACCTCCACAGCGGGCTGCCCATTGCGGGGGCCTCTTGTGCCTGCCCGCAGCTACCAGAGGCTCAGTTCCAAGCAGAGTGGGTCCTGGTTGAGTTCTCCACTGAGCGCATCAGCCTCTGGGTCGGGGACACCCCAGAGCTTGGGAGCAAGAAGAGAGCCACTCCCCTGGCCACTGGCCCGTTCTGACTTTGGACCTCTGACGGCTGTGTAGGGGTAAGCAGCACCGACTCTAGCCTTCCACGGGCCTAAGGATCTGGGACTGGGCTGCTTTTTCTTTTCCTCAGGGCAGGAAGCTCCCCCGCGTCGGCTGCCTCCCTTCTCACCCAGCACCCCATGGGCACCCTTGCTCGTGTCCCACCCAGTGCCCCCTGTTCTAGGGCAGAGCAGCTATGCAGTGGGCTCCTGGCTGTTGTGCCACATGCTGCTCCCCACCTCTTGAGCATCATGGCAGGGTGGGCCCCAGTGATGTGCTGGTCTGGGTGGAGGTACAGTCTGCAGCAGAAATGGGGTCGGGTGGGTCTGGCTGGGGTTTTCAGCAGTGCGGGGCGAGGGTAGGGGGAGCTGTCTCTCACCAGACAAGGGCAGTTAGTGTCATGCTGGTGCCTCCACTTGTCTCTCTCAGTGCTGGTTGCCCTGCATTCCCTGTGTCTTGTCCTCCTCCTGTCTTGTGTCTGTTCACACCGCATCTCACTGGAACCTGGAACTCTCCGCAGTCGGGAGGGCAGAGGGCAGGGGTGCAAGGGTGGGCTGGGGGAAGGGAGCAGTGCCGCCAGCCCAGGGGTCTGCTCCCCAGGGCAGCAGCTGGGAGGCAGAGGGAGGACATCCTTGTGCCTCTGCCCCCCCGACTTTTGGAGGTTCCTGGTTCCCTAAGGCTTGGTTGCTGGGGATGGGGTGTCTGTCTGTCTGTCTGGGGGGTGCAGGGTGCATGTCATGGGATGTGTGTGCGTGTCCCTGTCTGGTGTGACTGTGTTGGGGACAGGGTGGGGGTCGGCGGGCTGTGCGATTCCAGCAGTGGCAACACAGTCCCCTGTCCGGAGAGGGCACCCCTGGGGGGCCCCTTGGTGCTGGATGACTGGCGTGAGAGGTCAGTGCCCAGGCAGGGCAGGATGGGCCGAGGGCTGGGGGGCCGGGGCAGCTCTTAGTATCAGAGATGGCTGGGGGCCCTGGGTGGGGGAAGGGGACAGCATGGCTAGACCTCATCTGTGCCCCTACCCTACCCTGCCCAGGCAGACAACACCTGGCGCCGCAAGGCGGGGGAGAACCTGGGACCTCAGTGCAGACGGGCGAGCTGGTGTTGGCACCATGTGGCATCTCCCTCGCAGGGGTCTGGGGCTACCCAACGTGGTGTGGTGCTCCCAGGCCACCTGGGCCGTGGGCTGCCGGAGCTACTCCTCCTGGGAGAGCTGGCATCTGTGACCTGTACGGGGCGTGCAAGGCCAAGGGCAGTGCAGGTTGGCCCCCCAGCCGTTAGGCCCACCCCCCCGGTGCTTGCCACTGGCTGCTAACTCTCAAGTCCCTAGGTTCTGGCAGCATGTGCTGAGCTGCGTGCATTTTGCCCTTGTCTCTGGGGCCAGGTGGGGAGCAGACCTTGCATCTCCTGGGTCCTCCGCTGCGCCCAGAGCCTGCAGTCCTCATGCCCACTGCTGGCATGAGGCACCGTTTCCTCAGGGCACAGGGCTTGCATGAGTTC